ACGCTCCAACACATGTCCATTAACGATGTGTGGGTCAATGAACCCAACATCATGGATGTTCCTTACTCTGCATTCCTTAATCTTCATTCTGCATGTATAATAGCGGACACAACAATATAGTTAGGACATATATATAGTGCAAGCAATATGAACGAGATGGGGTAGAAATTAATAAATCACTTACAGAACGTAGCAACTGATGATAGATTTATCGAGCTCGCGCAGATTGAAAAGCTGGAACAATTCACTCAGTTCAATTTGTACATAGTAATGTTTGAAGTGATGCTCATGTCTAACTTCCGCATAAATATATTCTTTGGCGTTTTTATTTTTTATGTAACCCTTGTACCATTTCAGCAGACCTTTCATTTGTGGAGGTAGATCCTTTTCCTGCGCAGGCTCGACGAGAGGCCCATTCTTGACATATGTAATTACTACCTCCTTCACTGGCGCCTCATCAAGGTCTAACAGTTCACGAAGAGTAATACCTAAGTTGGCCGCTTGTTCTCTGGCACTCGTTACAGTCAATCCCTGTGCTGCCGCAGCTTGTATGATCTCGGGGGCATCCGGACAGAAGGCTTCCACTATAAGCGGGGCAATCGATTGTTTACTTTGTTCCCCGAGCTGGGCAACTTGTTTCCCGCTTTTTTTACTTTCGGCCTTCTCCCGCTCTTTGTTCTCCTTGAACATGAGTGCCTGCCTGCGAAGTTCACGTGCATAGTCGTTAGGCAGATTCTTCGCGGCTTGGGACGGTGTGCTCAAAAATGACTTAGCCCACTTCTTTTGCTCATCAGAAAATACTGGCTTGGGCTCGGGCTCTCTTTTCTTCTTGCAGTCCGCCTTCCATTTCTCCAAATCAGCAGCCGCGGCCGCGTCGACTTCCTCGGCACTACGTTCCCAAGGCCTTGTGGGGAGAGGCTTCAGTGATGGCTCCGGTACCTTTGTGGTCTTAGGTACATAAGGGTCCGGGTTACTACTGATGCATATAGTAATTTGTTTTGAGAAATTGTAACATATAGTAAATGCTATTTATCATTGGTAGATATGCAGCACACGCATACCACCCTACGCGCAACACGCTACTTGGGCTGGCCATTGCAGCCTTTTTATGGTCCTTTTCAAGAATGTTCTAGAACCTTCCCTAAACTGTTATTTATTTATTTTCATTTTTATTTTTTTATTTTCCATTTTTTGTACTTTGAAATTCATGAACATTTTTCAATTGATGAATATTTCTCGAAATTAGGAAATTTTTATCTGAGAACATTTTTCAATTTGCTTACTATTTCATGAAAAATGTTAACTTTTAGGAATTCATAAATATTTTTTGACTTGGTGAAATTATTTTTGAATCTAGAACTTTTGTTTGGACTTTGAAACATGTTTTTAGAAAAGGTGAATATTTTACGAACTCGTGAACATCTTTTAATTAGTGAAAAGTTTTGGAATTCCCAAATATGTTTTGAATCCATGAACTTTTTGAAATCCAAGAACATTTTATGAATTTGTGAACATTTTCTAATTTTTATGAAAAAAATTCTATGATTTGACAAACTTTTTTTTATTCACGAGTATTTTTGAATTCGCGAACATCTTTTGCACTCAGGAACACTCTTTCAAATTCACCAAAAAACTAAATCATGAACATTTATTGAACTTATGAATATTTTTTCAAATTTATGAGTATTTCATAAAATCACAAACATTTCCAAATTACGTGAAAAAAGAAAAATAAATATAATAGAAACAAAAACAATAATGAAGAAAACAGTGTGTGTGTGTGTGTGTGTGTGTGTGTGTGCGTGCGTGCGTGCGTGTGTGCGCGCGCGCGCGCGCGTGTGTGTGTGTGTGTGTGTGCGCGCGCGCGCGTGTGTGTGTGTGTGTGTGTGTGTGCGCCCCCGCGTTGGGCTGACCCAGAGTGCGCCAGGTGATGGGTATGCAGTTTGCTCATTGAACAGTCGTGGCCAAAACATGCAACTAACAAATCTTATATTACTCTCTTTAGTCGTGGCCAAAACATGGTTAGTGATTATACGGCAAATTTTATATGCATTGAACGTTGTGCAGTTGTGTGGCTACATTCTGGTCCAAGCGGTGTAGTTTTTTTTTGTTCCGTGTGGACTGTAATTTGAGTAACACAAGTTCATTTTTGAAAGCATGACAAAAGTTTGGTCATGAATGAAATGAACTCTTTAGCCGTGGGATTTTCTATTATTACTTTCTACCGGGGTACTCAAATTTATGAAGTACTAGATGATACCATGCACGTTGTTGCGGAAATGATTTGCGATATATTTGTAATGAGATTTGATTGTATAGAACGTGAATTTTTGAAGTAATAGTATGAGAACTGAAACAAAAACTACATATGATTCTTTTTGTTTGGTTAGTATATAGTTGTAAAATATTTACTAAACATAAATAGCATAACAGAATGAAAATTGTCAAGCATGTTTCCATGTTGAGATGGGATTTTTTTAAATGCATGGTTGCATGTTGAGGTGGACATTTTTGCATGCATGTTACTACATGGTGAGGTGGCATGAAAAAAATATGTTAGTGAGATTAGCTATTTAGATATGAAAGATAATTAGGATAAAAACTAATAATAACATTCTTAACCAATTAACACCGATGATTGCAGCGTAAATGTGCGGGCCATCCGGCTAGTTTATGAACGACTTGCTTGTGCCGAAGATGTAAAAAATCGTGCATTTCAATGTTTGATGATCGCCCAAACACGATGTACAAGTCGGGCACATTTGGATGTGTATGCTGACCACATACACCACGATAGCATGTCGTAGCAGCTCGCTTGAAGCCAGGAAATCCTACGGCTTGGTCAAATCCTACAATCACCGTCCACTTTAGCTTGCGTCGTTTCCAAGCTGTAATAAAATTTATAATCTCCATCACCTAGATACACCCACGAGTCAACATAATGCTACTTTTTTTTTGCGGGCAACATAATGCTACTACTGCAAAAACAAACTAGTCAAATAGGAGGGTTGCTCCAATCGTACACACAAAACATCACTCGCTCCATTTTTAAAATAGATGACTCAAAGTTGAAATGAAGAGAGTAGTTTGGTTTTAAAACCAGTTCTCCTGAAATTTACCAGATAAAGAATTTGAAATAGATCAGAAGTTTCTCTCGCCAAAAATAAAAGAATCTGATTTTTTTTTTACAAAACAATAATTCAAAATCAGTCTCTGAAATTTCTTGTGAATGTACGGAAGAATCTCCTCGAATAACCATTAGTGTACGAGCACTACTACAGTACTGTAGTATGTACATCAGCTGATCAACAACACAGAAGTATACTACCAGCGTGCAAATTAATTAGACACGTACGTACGTACGTGCAGGGTCAGCCGAGCGTAACGCGTGACGCGTCGTCGCGCGTGGTGGCCGACGCCGGCGACGAGAAGTAGGGGTCGGACACCACGAGCCCGTTGAGGAAGTCCGCGAACCGGTGCTCATGCCGACGCCTGGCGCCGGCGGCGCCCTCCTCGAGCGCCCTCAGCAGCGCCTCCGCCTTGGCCTTCCCCCTGGGGCTGGCCTCGCCGTCCTCCGCCAGCTCCCTCACGGCCTCCTCGGCGCCGCCCACGTCCAGCACCTCCGCCACGGCCCGCTCGCCGCCGGCCATGACGAGGTTCAGCAGCGCGGCGGCCGCGTTCTCCCTGGCCCGCCCCGTGGCGGCGCCCCCGGGCTCGACGAGGTCCGCGAGGATGCGCACCCCGGACACCGCAGCGAAGGCGTCGAGGCTCTCGGCGCACCCGGCCACCTGCGCGACGACTGCGGTGGCGTCCTCGACGATGCCCGTGCGCCCGTCCGTCATCACGAGCCCGAAGAGCGCCCGCACGACGCCGAGCTCCACCAGGGCGGCGCGGTTGAGCGGGTAGAGCGCGACGCCGAAGAGCGCCTTCAGGGCGTCCTTGGTGGCGCGCGTGCCGCGGGCCTTGGAGGGGAGGAGGAGCGAGACGAGCGCGGAGAGGAGCGCGCGCTTGGCGCCGACGATGGGGCGGTAGGCGTCGACGCAGAGCAGGCTGGCGACGACGGCGGCGGCGTGGTGCGCGGCCGCGTAGTCCTCGGCCCGGATGGCCCGGGCGAGCGCGTCGAGGATCCCCGGGGCCGACATGAGCTGCTCCCGCGCGGAGAGGGAGATGTTGAGCAGCGCGGCGGCCGCGTCCTCGGCGGCGGCGGACGTGGAGGGCGCCGTGAGCTGCGACGCGAGGAACGGCACGGCGCCCGCGTCCGCCAGCGGCGCGCGCACCTCCGGGTCGTCCTTGGAGGCGCGCCGCAGCTCCGCGACGGCCGCCGCCGTGGCGCCCGCGTCCCGCACCGCCGCCGCGCCCCGCAGCCGGCCCACCAGCGTCCGCGCCGCGTGCAGCTTCACTTCCATCGCTGTGTGCGGGATTGGATGGTTGCGGGTGGAGGCGTCGACGGATCTGGCCGCGGTTGCGTGCGCGCGTGGTGGTGGGATGCGGTTTTGGAGGGTGCGAGGGAGCTCCCGTCGCCGGTTGGTGGGTGGGGAGGTGGCGGTGGCGCGCGCGAGTGATAGTTGACGTGGGATTTCTTTACGCTTGGTCGTAAGGTTGAAGCCACTTTGTTATCTTCGGGGAAGTACGTGTGAAGCTTCTTGATCTTAGTTTAGTGGGGTGTTGTTGAACGCTTCTCCCGCGCTTTTACCATTCCCGGCGATCACGGGTTCAAACTTCTTTCTGCTGCTTCGGGCAAATCTATGCTCATGCGTTCACGCGAATGGTCGCATTGTGCTGAGAGAAGTCTGTGCCTCTAATGTAAATTAGAATCAAAGTTACTTTGCTCCATTCTAATCGGGATATGATCGGTGAAGATCACGGGTGGATGACGGCACGTGCAGGTGCGGCCATCCGTCGCATCATCCATGACGCGACGGCTAAGGTGTTTAATGCGGGGAGCTGTGAGCGATAAGGATGGTGGGTTCTTCCTCTCGATCAAGCAGTTAATCAGTTGACACTCCGGAGAAAAATGGCGCGAGCTTGTCGCTCAGTCGGCATCGCGCGCGCCTCGGCGGGGGCCGACGTGCGACGCGTTCGTGCACGTACGTCTGATGGTTGTACGTACACGTGCGCGTTGAGGCATCGCGACATACCCTGGATCATCATGATCAGAGATTTTTCAGTTTCTTAAGAGTTAATTGAGCATACGATCTCCGTGCTTCTCTTATGAACCGAAGCCCGATGGTCTCCAGTTGCAGAGCTCCTTGGGGTCTCGGTGTCTGGAAGATGGATGGTTTTTGTTTCCTCACGTATATATAGGATAGCAAAGACACGTAAGATCTGCTGGACGTACGTATTTTGACACGGACGTGATGCTTAACCTAAGGTTGGGTATTCCTTGCCTCTTCTGTTGCTTGCCTGAATCCTTACAATTACAAGGTCCACTCTACTACCAGTGCGACCTTTTTGCCTTCCGGCATCAACCCAGTTTCAAATATCTTCTGCTCCTTTTTCCGTGAGCGCCGTGTGTATGCACTGAGCACCGCGCACATGCGAAAACTCTCCGTAGACCAAACTCTTGGCGGGTTTGTTCCACCTCTGTCCCATTTCATAGAACGAGACCATGTCCAACGGCAAGGAGAATGGGTGGCGTGAGAAAACACAGTGAAAACTTTTCCTATCAAGATTAGTATGTGACGATGAAATGAAAAGAGACAAGTATGTTAGTATTTTTGTACGTTGGGTCTGGGTTTGGATCCGGGTGGTTTTTAGACTTTGTTCTTCGATACACGGTTGGATCCCGAACACTGATCCGGGATCAATGGCCGTGTGCGATGCAGCTATACAATTACCTATGCATGCATCATGCCGCTGCTATAGAGACGGAAGGCATGTGATGCCATGAGCCGCAAGAGATATGGGCATCTCCAACGCCAACTCTCAAACAGACTGTCATAGACCAGTTGTTATTCATGAACGCGTCTATTTGTCAGTTCTTTCCGCAAACCAAAAACAAATCTGCTGAAGTTTTGCGATAGTTCCGACATCAACTTGACGAACTAAAAGCCACCACGTACTCCACACATTGCATCCTCCCCTCTCTCTTCCTATATCAAATGACGGGAGGTGTACTAGCTATACCTAGCTCAAATGGCGGAAGGTAGCTAGCTCAAGTGTCAAATGGCGGAAGGTGTATCTCAAAAGGGCGAAAGAAAACTAGCTCAAATGGATCTAATTTCGTTTTAAGTGCTTATTAGTATAACACGCATGTTTGACAAAAGGCACTAGTGAACGTGCTAGCTATTTGGTGAAACGTTGTTGTTGTTTGGCGCAATATATGGTTGGATGGCCGGATGACCGGATGACCGGCTCCCGTTTCGTTTCCTGTCCACAAACAGTTTGGTCGCAGTCCATGGACAGGCAATGTGTCTATTTTAGAGGATAACATGGCGAAAATGCATAGGAGCTCTCAGGTGCTATGTCCCCCTATATTAAAAATAATTTAGTAATTCAAAAAAGTCAAAAAAAAAATCCCAGAACTTTTTATGGAATCAAACATGACCAAGTACTGCACTCGTATAAAAAGATTAAATAGGAAATGAATTTTATTATATCCAAGGTCAAAGATTTCCCGAAAAATGCTAGATACAAGTACTATTCATGCTATATTGTTGTCATAATTTTTTTTTCCTGAAGTCAACGAGAATTATTCCTTAGCCAAACTTCTTATACGAGTACAATACCTAGTCATATTTGATTAAAAATATATCTAGGAAGTTTTTGACTTTTTTCGAATTATTAAATTATTTTTGAATATAGGGGGTGGAGCATTCGAGTGCTCCTAATCCGCTTGCATAACATTGGAGATACCCTAAGGTTGTTTCTTCCTCTCGTTGTCTTGAGCTTCAAGCTCGTACACACACATAAACTGCGCCGGGCTCTGCGCCTCTGCTGAAACGAAACCAGGTCGCTAATTGATCGAGCTGCTTTCGCGCGTTTCTGGCACATCATTCAAGTGCACACAACACATTGACACGGTCCAAATTAGGTGCTGTCATTAGCTAGATCCAAACAATCTAAACGGCTTTTGACGGGTAATCCTAGCTAGCAGAAGCATACGCGTATTTTCCGACCGCAACGTGCCCGTTTTATATTTACATTTTTTACATAACATATGCTCGATCGAAATGTGGACGTCGGACGAATAGACGACGATCTTCGTTTTCAAGGAAGAAACATGTCATGTCGAAGGGACGAGTACGCCCCGATGCTTCAGCTCGCTGTTGGCTGCTTTGCTTGAGTGGAAATTTGGACTGAGTTTCATCCATAAAGGAAAGTCAGCAAACCGATGCTCGCGATGATCAGCGTTGAAAAACATGCACGGCGGCTCGAGTTGATCACTGTGGTGACGTACGGCCGCCGGCCGGACCTACTTTGACCTTCGTGGCCACCGCTGATGTGAAGCGTAAGCACCAAGCCGGCGATCTACACGTATGTTATCTTCATCGACAAGCAGTTTTCAAGTACGTACATACTTGCCATTCTTGAAGTTACGTGCACGATGCACGTAGGTACGTGCGTGTGTTGTCTCGGTTTTACTAGTTAGGACGTAAATTACGGTCGCCTTTGACCTTGGATTGTCCGAAGCTGATCGACGAGTAAGATGTTGTGCACGCATTCTTTTCCTTTCCAGCATGCTTTTTAATAGGAGTGGAATATACAACGAGGACGCACACTCCGTACACGTGCCACGTACGTGGTAGTACTTAGCAAGTTTGTTGGTTAGAAAACAAAATTTTCATTACTTCTTCCCTAATGCTCGCTTCTAGACTTCTCCACAGCTCTTCAACAGCCATGTGTTGAGGCACCTCATGGGTCATGGAAAATGCCGAGGGCCAATCCCGGACCTCCCTTCTACGTTGCTGGCGCCTGTGGTCAATGCCTTTTGTACCTAAGAATACTGGTATATTTCCGTTAAGAAGTTGATGCCTATTTGAAAAAAGTTAGTCATGAATTACAACCTAGTCCCTAAATTATGCAAATAGGGCCCCAAAATCCATAAGAGAAATGCAATTTGGTCCACAACTACTTCCGAGCAGCACCAACCCCGTAGGCGCTAGGGACGATACCACTTGGTCCTTCGAGAGCTCCATAGTTGCACGCCATGGACACAACCAAGAAGCAGGCCTACCTCCCATCAGGCTTCATGGACGGGAGGAATAGGGTTGGCCTCCTTTTGACCAAGAGGGCTGATAGAGTGGTGATGACGGCCGACTCTCTCACGCATGAGTCATTGCTGCATCTACGACGCCATCGATGATGAGCTCTAGTTCCAACAGTAAGAACCTTCTTCTCACTCCTCTTCTTTGCCTTGACCACCACCATGGCGACTTAAGGAGATGTTGAGGATGCAACCAACTTTCACAACTGGCTCAGACCATCAAAGCACCGTGAAGAGCAGAGCCACAACCACCATGCACCAGAGACAATCTGATTCCTCCAGCTATGCACTCCAGACAAGCATATTGCCAAACACCCTTAAGGGAAACCACAACCAGCTTACTCTGGCGATGCACTCCAGACTGGTATATTGCCAAACACCCTTAAGGGAAGCCGGAACCTATTGCTACTATGTAAAGGAAAGCATCTTCTCATTTCTCAAGCACTCTCCGGCCGACAATGACATTGGCAGAGGCAGTGAAGCCTTTTTGGTCGCTTCTCAAGATGCTAATGTAGAGGTTCCTATGATTCACCATCTCCAATATCCTTATGTGGGGGAAGGACCTCTTTATATAGCATGTGGTGCGACGGGTGTCACCAAAACTCCCGCGCTTTTGTGCTGGCCCATGTACCCGGGTGGCGCCCTTTCCTTGTTTTTCTCTTTAATTTTTTTCCTTTTTGTGTCCTTTTTATTTTCCTTGTTTTTTTGCTTTAAAAAACAGGATTTTAAAAAGGTCAAAATTTTACAAAAATGTTCTATTTTTAAATGTTTTGAGATTTAAAATATTTCATGGATTAAAAAGATGTTTCAAATTTAAAAACTAAATCATGAGTTTGGAAAATGTCCCAATATGTCAAAAAATGTTCGCACATTTGTAAAAATATTCCAATATTCTCACGAATTTAATGTTCATAAATTTTGAAAATTGTTTCCCAGTTAATTTATTTGTCATCAAAACAATTCCCTAGGTTTCAAAAATATTTTCTAATTTTTTAAATGTTTGACATTTCACAAAATGTTCAAGAATAAAATTTCCATGATTTAAAAAATGTTGCAAAATCTTAAAAATGTTCATGGATTTGAAAATATTCAAGTATTTCAATTTTTAAAAATATTTTGTAAAAAAGCCGAGATTAAAAAATAATTAATGAATTCAAAAAATGCACAAGATTTAAGAAAAATCACGATTTAGGAAAATGT